TTACTCTCTCCAGGTGGCCTTCGCATATCTGACGGTGGACCCATCCTGTTGTCATGCAAACGATGGCCTGGCGGTGGTCCTCTTTGCCGTTGTGGCGGTGGCCCTTGGCCTGCTCGTAGGTCCACATCTCCGGAAGGTGTTGAAGAAGCATTACCCATTCGGTAATCTTGGTCCTAAAGTGAACAACTCGTGGAATCGCCAAGCTATTCGATTCAGTAAAGGGCTAAGTTCGAGTGAAAGCTAGAGCTCAGCACAAATTTAGAACCCACACCAAAATATCCTCTAATTAAGACTCAATGGAGCCCAACAAAGTGATATGTCATCAAGGTTCTCCTGATTATTCCCATCGTCACAGGTTATTCTGGGTAAACCTCTGACAATTACGTTTTGATTTTTCTATAAAAATTCGAAGCGCGAAGCCGAGTGCAGCTGGAACTTAGCACTGCCGTGGGATTTTCAAATATAAACAGCACTGTCGTGGATTTTCAAATAGAAACCTTTTCCATGTCTTCTTCACTTGGCGGCGGAGCAGCCTGCTTCTGAGCTAATGACGGTGGCATGGGAACGCCGGGAGGCCATATCCCAGCTGCTGCCAGCATCTGTGGTGTCATCCCAGGAGGAATCGCTGAAAAAAATAGCATAAGGGATAAAGAGCTTGAGAAGTCATATCAAATAAGTACGTACAAGGAGGTAACTGAGGGAATGGAGGACGTTGAGGTGGCATTGGCAGTGACGTTCTGGGGGCGTTCGCTGGAGACGGTCCATTTGAAGTAGGAGGAGGCGTTGCACTAGCAGTTGTAGCAGGAGCTGACAGTAAAGGTGCGCGATGAGGGGGCATTTGAGGCCGTCCTTAAAATTATTTAAGATAAACTCTGGATCGAAGAAAGAAAACGAGACATTTAGCTAATTAGTGACCTTGTTCATTAGGAGTGCCAGGTTTTCCAGACGGAGACTTCTCCTCCATGTTTGGAGTCGGTGTATTAGATCCTTGAGGCTTCCAACCAGGTGGCATCCCAGGAGGAAGAAGGCCTAACTTTTGTGCACCAGCAAAACCGCCGGCAAATCCTGCCGCAATGGCGGCTGCTGACTGAGCTTTCACTGCAAAGAACATTCGTAGAATACAAAAATTCATCACAGTATAGTATAACTTATGAACATATCGATATAATTCTCTGAAATTGCTGAAAAAATCCTGAACAGCTCTCTAACCTGCTCAGGTCATCGTAAATGCGACTATTTGAACAGCAGAGTCCTAATGAGCAAAAACAAACAAATGCTTTCTCAAACCTGTCTGCGCGAGCATCGACATTGGAGGAGGAGCTTGACCAAGCAGTCCTTGACGAGGTCGTTGCTGCTGCGGTTGAAACATTTCCTCTTCGGGTTCGTCATCGTAATCATCAACTACAAATCAGTCATATTGAGCGATTCACTATCAAATAATCTGTAAAAGTAAAGTACTTACAACCACCGCCTCCTGGTTTCGACACATTCCACATTCGTTCAAACTGCCTTTGTGCTTTCTTAGGGGGTGGCTGTTTGATCAACGTCTTTTTCGCTCCGATATTGGCGTTATGCTGAAAGACAAAATCCTTCCTCTCTCATTTCAATGAAATCACCCGTGGTCTAAATAAAAACTGCCTAGGAAAACATGCGTATAGGAAAACCGATGTTTTTTTTTCTTCAGAACTTCCCGTGGCAAGGGATTAAAACTTTCACGCACGTTCGGTTTGGTGGGGGCACCGAATACAGTCAGTAAAGCTCTTACAAGCCATCTTGTAAAAACCTGGAAATCCTGTGAACAAAGTGGCTCGGTTGTACCATTTCTCAGCTTCACACGAATTTACAGTCCCACCAAAATGGGACCTGTTAGTTAACATGAAATAGCAAAAGTAACCAGCGACAGTGTAAATGCCCCTCCCAAGCTGAACACTGCCAACTTTCACATGCGTCGAACTGACGAAGCAGGACTTTCCCATTACTCTTTTCAACCGCGTT